GGCAACTGCAATCGCGGCAGCAGTAATGAATCGGCGTTTTGCGTAGGCTATAATACGTTACGTTCGGCTGCGTTTCTCGTTCGTAGGGCACGCGAACGTTGCGGCGCGCACATTGTGGTACGTACGGCCCACGTAAATACGCACATTGCTTGAGAGGTAAAAGGGAAATCGCGAGTGGGTGGTGAAAAATGACGGGGACGTGTCCGTGTACACGTGTAGGTACATCGGCTTGTACGGACTTTGTCGTTACAATAATCGTCACGCCCACCCTCGCAAAACGGCGCAGTTCCGCGGGAAACGTTTCCGTTCGCTCTCTCGCGCCCCGTTGCCGAACGGTACAGTGAGTCGTAGTCGTGCGCCCACGAAATCGTTTTCCCGGCCATGATCGTTATTGCCGCCGGTGTCGAGCTGCCGCGAAGGTAAGCCTCTCCCCAGGTACGAGTGATGTCGCTGTCATTTCCGACAAGAACGACGTCTACCACGACCGAAGTCGGTTCGGATGACTAATGCCGCCGAAGAGATATTTGTGAACGGAATTCGGATTCATATTTTTTGCCCCGCACAAACAAGACGACGCGTTTTCCGTACGGTTTGTCCCCGATGACGACGCGAACTGACTGTTCACGCGAAGAAGTTTTGAGCGCTGCACATATCATCGTTACCTACAGCAAAGTACGTGATAACTTGACTATCAATACGTCGAACACAGAAATAACATAAAGTCTTTTCCGACTTTTTGAAAATGTCTACAGTAGATTCATAACTATGCAACTGAAATTAATGTTTCATCCTTTGGAGTTTTCGACACTCGACTGTGCGTTTAAAAATTCAACGCGCATGTGTATTGTGCATTACATTGAATTCTAATGATCGCCACGGGAGAAAAGGCAAACGTTTTCTATCCGTCCCGAATAGCATATTGTGTTTTGTAAACGATTCCGTGTTTACAACTCGAGATTTTCGAAAACCAAATTGTGCGCTCCCTCTCGTCGTTTTACTATCTTTGTCGCAGTATATTTCGACACCGTGTTTTTGATTTGAACGTATTGTATACGTTTATATATCATATGAACATTATTTAAATCTCTATCTGATACGGATGTAAATCGTATATTCGAAATAATTGCGCGTAACGGTAACGAATACCGATTAAAATGATACTTACTGGTTTATAGAATAAAATCCTTTGAAATTACGGGGTTTTTCGACATTCGGGATCAGTCACTTGTCGATGAACTAAAAATCTAAGCTTAAATTCCCGCCACTAAAATATATTACAATGGAAAAACCAATTAATATAAATACAGTGTTTGTGAAGCACTAAAAGTACTCGGTATGTTCCCAACAGCAACGCTGTGAATATTCGTTATGTAAATGGAACCTGTCATGTGTCCGAAACTTCAAAAGACCCGAAAAAAAGAATCATTATTGTACACCAGTCTACGAAATTTTTATCCCGTTCATAATATTTAAAATATTTAGCTTGGTCAACGGATTTGTCACTAAAAGTGAATTATAAACCATTTTTTATGCTCTTATTTATCCTTGACTGTATACAGTCTTGTGCATTATCTAGATAATTTTATCTAGATGATTTATCTAGATAAAAACATTTGTGGGAAGTGAAACGAGGAATAATAAATATTTAGTATTACCGCATGTACGTTTTAAATTTTAAATATACATATTTTTTAAACGAAGAAAAGGTATTGAATAATTATTTACACAGAAAACATATAAAAATGAATGTATTTCAAATAATACCATTCAATTATATAACGATTAACTTTTTTTTTCTCTATATTATCGACAGTTGGGCGATACCCGCTGCCCAATGCATACGTCCGAAATTCAATATACATATACCTAATAGCTAATATTATACTCATATAATAATAATATACACAATAATTGTGTTAACACATGGACATAAAACGTCAATCTTTGGCTGGAACGTTCCATAAATAACAATGTACAAACTAAGGTTAATCAAAAATGAGTTTTATATATATAATATACCTACGTACATATATATGCATTAAAAATTATAAATTGTCCGTCAAAGACCAGTATTAATAACATTAATAATACTATTTTTAGTATCCTACATTCATACTTTGCTACGTTAACGTTCCATCGATCATCATTGTTATTAGTTATTTTCGGCTGTTCGACGTTAGTAACTAGTTGTCCTTATTTCTCAATTTAATATGGATAAATTTATTTCTCGAAAGAAGAAACGGATTCATGAAGATGATTCTAACATTTCTTATACAACAGATATCCCCAGGCTTGGGCAACCTAGGCCATCTAAAAAAATGGTTACTGAAACGGCTGGATGTACAATTACAACTAAAGAAAATACCATCATTGACGAAACACAAAACTATCTGTTGGACGGAAAATTTTATAAAATAGTTTCAGTCAAAGAATCAAAAATGGTTGTTTCGTGTCAACACAACCAAAAACAAACTGTCACTCATATATTTATATCATAATAGGTTTATTGATATAACTTTTTACAAGATTTTTTATTCATCTACAGTATTTAATCTCCCAAAATTAATTCAAATTATTTTAAACCAATTAAATCATAATTAATATTTAATTTTTTATTCATAGAAAAATAACCATTTTACAAGTGTAAGTTCTGAATGATGAAACTGTTAAAAATTATGTTTTTATCTACTTTTATCTGTTTTTTATCTAGATAAATGTAGTCATCTTTTATCCATTCAGATAAATTTTTAAATTGTTATCTATTATTTTATCTAGATAATATTTTGGTTATCTATGTATAACACTGACTGTATAACATTATTTGATAAACGATGGAAATACAACATAAATTAAACATTTCATTAACAATTTTGGTAGGTATTGGAAGAAAGTGATTTAACTTTGCAATTACGTATTTGTCTTTAATTTATATATTCCATCGGTCGAATTAAACGAATCTATATAGACCAATAACTTGACATGGCCAATAACGCCATGGTCGTCGTTTATGGTCGTCGGACACGTGATTTTTTTTAAAAAAAAAAGAAGAGAAAAAATAGTCTTTTTCCTCAACAAAGTCTTAGACATGTTCTTAATTGAATTAGGTACACATCAACTAGAACTCGCTTAGAAACGTTAAAAGATTGATTAATGTGGTTGAGTGTAGTTTAGTGGTCTCAAAGTTAATATAAGCTCCTAAAAGTTTTTAAACTATTCATAACAACCGTCAACATTTTAATAGCAAGTTTGATTAGTTTCCTATAAGAAGTGTATCTTAGTGTGTAAGACTACTAATTAATTAAATACTGTAAACTGAATCGGTGCAATAGATTAACCTTTTACTTCATCTAAAATAAGTAACCATCATATTTTCATATAAAACATATTTAAATATTTGATTCTAATCTTGTCTACTATAGTCAACCGTAAATCAGCTTAGATCGAACACCATCAACTTTACTCGTTGTATCATCGGTTCATAAAGATAAAAACGTTATTTGAGTATAATTAATTTATATTTTAGTTCATGTGTCATGTTTCATACGTACGCATTTGTAAAGAGTAAAAAACTAGAATCTATTAGAAACATTCTAAAGTATCCTTTTATACTAATCAGGTTAACTAATTAATCAATCAATTCAAGACTGTACATCTTAATGGCTCCTCATTTTCTTTAATAACATATTATATTGTTACACGAATGAAAATATTAACCGAACGGTCGTTTCTCTTGTTTTATTAATTAAGACGTACATTTGAATTAAAATTAAAAAAATGTTCCTAGCTTAATTAATGCTGAAATATGATTGGTTAAATTATATGTAATGCTCCTAACGAAAATACTTCCAATTTTAATTCTTAGGACAGTGACTTGTACTTATTTATCTTTTTATTGACAGCGAGGATTTAAAATTGCCCTACAAGATTTTATTTTAAAATACCTATTTTATTTTATTTAAAATTTATAAGCTATGCACAAATGTATTAAAAAAGTAAACTGTGTCGTAAGACTACTCACGAAGTGAGCAGTTCGCTGTATTTATATATTTATACGAATAAAGTTGTTTATATTTATATTAAAACACAGAAAACATGTCAGAATTTTATTAAATTGATTCGTGGTGTTTGCACGCCACTTGAGCTGAAAATCAAATCAAAAATGATATGAAAATTACTATGTCAAATCGCATTGTTATACTATGTTGACGATCAAAATCACGCGCGCTTTTGTAACAACACTCTCTCGAGGTCAACAAAAGACGTAAGCTGACACTCAACTGAACTATTGATCTTGCCATGTTTTAACCATTTAATGATTACTGCAAGTATGCGTGCTGAGGGACGTATTTTCACAGTGATACGAAACATCATTAACAAAATCCAAAAGGTTACATCGACCGTACACATTAGCAAGCTTACTTAAAAGCAAACCATTTATTACCTAATAAGGTATCCAAAAAAAAATATTAAATGTAGAAATTATTATAAACAATTTTAATAAAATATAGTGTAAATCCCATAAACGTAAAAACTTTTAATTTATAGTTTGGCCTTTGATAACGTAAGATAACGATGACCTGTAAAAATTAAAACTCAACAGCGATTGATTATATATGCCCGTAACTATACATTACGTACTTACAAAATCACCTATTCATCATATTCCATCATACGTGGTATTTGATACAAATTAAAGATTTCCAAACTTTTAAATAAGATTGAGTTATATGTATTGATAAACACTTGGAAAAAATTAGTATTTCTCTGGACAATGTCATTCTACATCTTGCAATGAAAATATTTAATTATTATAATTATATTAGAAGTTTTAATTGTTTTGCTATTCAACGACTTTAACTTTTATTATATATACTGTATTTACGTATTGAATAATAATACTTAAACACGTACTCATTAGTAAATTTCAAGTTTTTATAAAAAATATTTAATTTTTTTAGGGATATATTATTCACACATTATTTTATTTTTGTTAAATTTAGATGACTGGTGACGAGTACAACGATTTGGAAAAAGATGAAGTTAATATAATTTCTGGAGCTCTTGAACTTCATCGTAAGAAAGTCGGTGATGTCATGACCAAGTTGGAGGATGTGTACATGTTATCATACGATACAGTGTTGGACTTTGAAACCGTTTCAGAAATCATGAAATCGGGTATGTATCTATGTATATATTATAACTTACATATTTACATTGTTATTTTTATTGCTGTTTATTTCTTCGAAAATATAATGGGCCCACACACAACAGTTTTGTGGAAGGACCCATGAGTTCATAATTTATATTATAATAATTAGGTATACAATCATATTAATAATATTTACATTTTAATTATCTTAGAGTTATAGGCTTATAAAAAAGAGCTAATTAAAATATAAAATTTAAATAACAATAATTGTTAAAAGAAACTTCAGTTTAGTAAAATATAATAAAATACATTAAATAATCAACTATATTAAAGGTAGGTATAAAATATTTAAAGTTCTATATTTTATTTTTGTTACAGTTAGTTTTTTTTTAACTATTTAAAGATTGATTTGTTTCGATTTCTATTAGTAGCATATTATATAAAGCTTTATATATTATATATAATTTTGGTTAGCTAAAAATGGTGTTGTTTAATGATTAATTTTATATTAATTTTATTTAATGTTAATTACGTTTTTTCCAATAATAATTATCATAATATTTAATACCTAATAATTATTTATCGAATTTCTATTAAAAACTCATTTGACTAGAAGCCAGATTTATTTTTTTTTTTAGTCAAAAATTAAAAAAAAAATGTTGCGTTAAAAATAGTAATTTTATACAGTTTATAAATGTCGATAGTATATATTCCTAATTTTTCAAAACTTTTGGTTTTGAATATTTTTTTAGTTAGAAAAATTGTTTTCAGGTGAGAATTCATAGAGAACTAAATTTAATATTTTTGCACTTATTTAATAATAAAACGCAAACGTGAAATGATATTAAACAACATTACTTTTTTTAAATCAAATTCTAAAACAAGAAGTCAAAAGTTTCTGACGAAAAGAGTATATTTAATGACTATTTTTAAACGCATAAAAAAAGTCATTTTTTAACAATTTTACTTGTGTATTCACATTTATTAAAAAAAAAATAATAATAATAATAAACATAGTCTTTAATCATGTGAGTTACTTAAAAGAAAAAAAAATATATTTCATTCATTTATTCACACATATTACAATTAGTTAATCTTTGTGAGACAACCTGATTATTTAAATACTTTATTTTAAAATTTGTAACGATCATCCATAAAGAAACAGTTAAAATTAGTACATGTAGTAAAGTCAAAATTCATTACTCTTTACACGATCAATCTATCTTTCGGGCGTTTAACTTTGGATGTCCTGTGGTTCTGTGTTCATATAATATTGCCAATGTCGTTTAATTTAAGATTATAATAATAAACGAAAACCCACTCAGTAAATTAATAATGCGTTACACTTAATACTTATTTCCAGTTAACTCTATTAAAATTAATTCTCTTAATAATTATTTTAATCAAATATTATGATATTTGTTTTGTGAACTTAATTAACTATTTCCTTCGTAAAATGTTTTGTTGAATAAATTTGTATTTACATTTGTTTAAATAATTTCATGATAGATTGTTCTTTATTATATTTTATATTGACATACTTATATTAATTCATGTGAATATATATATATATATAGGTGTTAAAATAAATATTGTCCGTAGACTATTCGATCAACTGCTAATTATTTTCTTCAATCGAATACCACATGCAGATTCGTCTAAAAAATAGTATAAAATAGTAAATTATTTTGAATCCAAACTGTAATAATATAACAAAATATAACCACAGGATACAATATATATAATATGATCTGTACATTTTAATGCAGTAAAAACATTCTTCTCTCTATCGTTAATTCATTGTTTGTCACCGATTATTCAGTTTTGAACAATAGTTAGTTGTATTATATTTTAATGTCATAAATGTCTATTCAAGGTTTTCTGCAGTGGTCTACGAATTTAAAATAACTGAAAAATGGTTGTTATACATTTAAAACCAAAAGTGTGTATAATGTGTATTATACTCTATTAATTATACAGAATAAAAAATAATTGTGAAAACGGTTTTTTAAAAACATGTTTTATGTATTCGATTACAGTTCTTACTACTTTCTGTGTATTGGTAGAAACTTAACGAAAATAAAAAATAAATTGATCTTTAATTTTTTAAACGACTCATCGGACCGATGCGATTTATTATTTCTTGAAACGTCAATAATGGTGACAAAAATAACAAGTCGTGTTTAAGTCAGTAAACAAAATGTTATCTCCCAGAAACCGCGGAGAATGGTAACAATCCGGTCGCGATGGTGACAAACGGCCCTATATAAAATACGTAGGATTTGTGGAATCTAAAAAATATATTTAAATCGATTTTTGGCAATCGTGTGAAATGCACATCCCGTCCATCACACTACGATTAGCGTACGATCTAAATTTACATTTTTACATTCTTCCCAAGCGGTGGTAGCAGGTGCGCGCACGATATTTGAAAAATTGTTCAGCTCTATGCACACTCGTATAAATATTTCTAGTATCAATGGTGCACCGTTGTACATAAGTGGGCAGTGGATAACGACTAAAATATATAAAAAAAAAAAAAAAAATTAAAATTAAATCCGTTTTGAGGCGCCTGCGGGCACCGGGCCAACGAAACGTTGCCACCACCGCTACTACCGAACTATAAATATCACGCCGTCGTGGCGACGACGTTGAGCAATAGTAATTCGTTGAAAAATTTCATTTTTTTTTCTCATTCGACCCAAGGGTGGTTTGTGGCTTGTACGTTTAAAGTACAAAACACATGTGGGACTCCGAGAGTACAATACATATTCATATATAAATATATATATTCGCAGATATCGTATATTTTACCAATTTTTGTTTGCGAAATGCTGCATCTGGGATCCACAAAAATAGTTCCATCGATATTTTATCTCCGTTTCCCCTAATGCTCTCATCCATTCGTCAATGAACCCTACCATCTTTCAAAGCATTTAATGGATTTTGTTCGTTGCCGGTTTTTTTTTTTTTTTTTTTTTTTTTTTTTTTAATTGCCAATTGCCGCACGCGTAATCCATTAACACATCCTTTCGCGCATTGTCCGCATGAGAACAACAACAGTTATAATAGTTTTGAATTTTATTTTATTTTTATTGTTATTGTTCAGGATACTCGAGGATACCCGTTTACGAAGACAGCCGCCAAAACATTGTCACCATGTTGTACATCAAGGACTTGGCGTTAGTCGATCCCGACGATAACACATTACTTAAAACGCTGTGCCAATTCTACCAGAATCCATGTTATTTCGTATTCGAAGACACCACGCTCGACGTGCTTTTCAAACAGTTCAAAGAAGGTGAGTCGATGATGTCGTACACAGGCGTAATGTCGGTCGCACTTTTAGCAGTAATGAATTACATTAGGTACTGCACTCGTACACCAGTGCCGTGAGAGTAGAAAGGAAAAAAAATACAAATGCATTGATTCAATAAAAAGGACAGAAATAAGCTTGGAGGGCCACCTCCAAGAATTGCTCATAACATCTCATTGCGAAATAAATCGAAATTCGTTTTTCAGAATTAATTGAACCATACTTTTAGGTTATAGTGTAGTGAGGCCATATAAACCCCCTAAGATTTAAGACTGGATTACGTCACTGCAGCGTTACACCAACCGTATTTGTTTGCGTTTCGTTTGTTCGTAACTATGTATAATTACATAACCTAGTAGGCTTGGTGAAATAAAGAGGGATTAGCTTCTCGATTTCTTGAGTTTCATACTATGCGTTCGGAATACAATCGTAAAATTAGTATAAATTATAAATATTGGTGTAAATTAATAATAATAATAATAAAAGATAATGCACTGAACTACCTTACTAATTGAAAATTTGACATTTTTTATAACAGGATTAACTAAGATATTTAATGTGGAGCGACCCTGTACATTTTTTTAGTATAAGTTAGATTAAGATATATATTTTTTATTTATTTGTCTAATAAAAATAAATAATAATAAAATTATCTGTGGCATATGATTATTTACACACGAAATGTGTTGGGCGTAAAATTATACTTTGATTACCTCACATAAACATTCGGCATATCGTCTCGTATATTATTCATCAATTATGTAAAGTGCATTTTAATTTTTTTTCATTTTAATTAAATTTTTGTACTGGTACGATACTTTTTTATTTATAGTAGCACAATAATATCAGTGGTTAAAAACGTTCATCATAGTGAAAAGTTTTTTTTTAACGAGTTTCAGTGCAAAAATTATACCCTAACTACTAAAAAATTTAAATATGCAAATTAACATGGTTAACACCAGAAAATAAGTACATTATAATATAAATATTTAATTTTACAAACTTAATAGATATCGTTACTTGTTTGTGGTTCATAATATTAATTATTTTACAAGTAATTTTCCTAATTTGTGAATAGTACTGTAATAATTTCACTATATAACAAATATCTATTTCTGAAATTTCAACATAGGCATACTTATTTTGTCTATTATATTATAGCTTTAAAATATTCAACGTTAAATTCAGGATGTTTTACCAGATTCGAAAAAATGAATAGTAATCATGATTCCAGATCAAATAGTATTAATTAAAATTGTAAGGACTTATAATGACTAAAAAACTGCTGAATTATTATTCATATTTACTCAGTATACTTAGAAATTCTATTTTTGTTTTAGTGTTCAACTACCAAATTACTAAAACTACCAATTTATGTGACCTCGAACTTTTAAAATTTATTAGACACAAACTTATTGTAGAATCGTATTTCTCCTTTAAAATTTTGATCATTAATTAATACGTCATATATTCGTTTCATATGGATACATGGTATTTCTTCAGAGTATTGACAGAACTTATACAGTAAGCGTTGTATATAAAATTAAATACGTATATTTATTCTTCAATAATAACGTGAATAACATTTTAACATTTCTTCAGTGGTTGATTTCAACATGTAGTTTAATAAGAGTACAAAGTCTGAATATGTGACCATATTATTGATAACCAGACGAAGGACAATAATAAATCAATACTCTACAAAAATATCATGTAATCAATTCTAAAAAAAAAAAATTATATTGCAGTGTTCTGAAAATTTGAGAACATAAATGTATGAGGTATAGAAATAAATGGAAAATAAAACTCAATACAACGAAAGAATTTCAAAATAATAATATTAACATATGATTTATTTACTGAAACTCTTACAGTATCTAGTTAAGTTCTCAGATAAAACTTTTGTCCCACTGTTTAATTTTTTTTTTTTTCTATTACTTGTTCATTTTGTGAATGGTAAAGGTAAATTAATATTTACTGAACGTTTGTAATAACAAGTTGTTTAAAACAACAATAAAACTATTTGCTCTTTCTTACTCAGTTATACTCAAGTAAAATATTATGTTTATTTTTCATTGTTATTGAAGATAATAATAGCTAATTAAACTTGTGTTATTAATTTTGGACTTGACCCGAAAAATGATCAAGTTGTAACATAACATAAACAAGCTACAAAATAATTGTATGTGTTGATAATATTGTCTCAAATGAATTATGATTTTTTTTTTTTTTATAGTTAAATTTCCTCTTAAAATTGCATTAGATAACAAAAATACAACTATTTTCTTATATAAAACATAGCCGTTTAAAAACGTAAGTCTTTACTCGAACAGAGGTTTTTAAATTTAATTTCAAACCCACGAAGATTTTAATAACTCATAGTCAAAGTCACTGACAATTATTTATAAAAAACAATTGTTTAAATTATTTTTGTTTTTAAATAAATATCAATAAAAACAATTGAATCTGAGAAAATATTATATGCTCTTGAAAAACTTGAACACAAAGAATTGCTCATATTTTTACAAATTTATTATATTAATTTGTTCTTTATTTTATTATTATATAATTATATTATTGATGATTTTAAGCGTTTAGTTATTATATTAACGTATGGGTGATAAAGATTGGCAATATGTTTTTAATTTTTTCATGTAGAAATATATAATACCTATTCCGTTTAATAAGTTATATAATGCTATATTTGATAATATTTGATAATTGATAATAATAATATATAATAATAAAAAACAGGTATAAAAGGACATATGGCGTTTGTTCATCGCGTAAATAATGAAGGGGAAGGTGATCCGTTTTATGAAACAGTGGGTATTATAACATTAGAGGACGTAATTGAAGAATTGATTCAAGCCGAGATCATGGACGAAACCGATGTTTACAGTGAGTAGTGTTTTGATAATGACTTTCGAGTGTTACAGTATAATGTTTTTTTCAAACATTTGTTAAAAACAAATTGTTTTCTTCTGATTTCCAGCTGACAACCGGTCAAAACAACGTCGACAACAGCGCTCGTATAGAGCTCAAGACTTCACAGCATTTGCCGAGCGCAGCGAGAACCAGCGCATTCACATCTCCCCGCAGCTCACTTTGGCCACATTCCAGTTCTTATCGTCGAGTAATATACATGCGCATATCTTATACAATTATTAAATAAAAACGTGGCATGAAAATTACTATGTTGTCTTGTCTTATTTGAAAAATGCGTCGCTGACAAGACAACGCGCTGCCAGAGTCAACGATTTCATCATGTTTTCCTCCCCACAGGCGTCGAAGCTTTCAAGACGGACGTCGTGTCGGAAACGATCCTGATGCGTCTGCTGAAACAGGACGTGATATTCCACATAAAAATGAAAGACAAGGAACGATTCAAGTCCGACCCGGCCAGCGTCATCTACCAGCAGGGCAAGCCCGTCGACTATTTCGTGCTGATATTGGAAGGACGCGTCGAAGTCACTGTCGGCCGGGAGAACCTCGTGTTCGAAAGCGGTCCGTTCACGTACTTCGGGTCACAAGCCTTGCATCAGAACATCGGCATCGGTGAGTTCGTCAACGCGGTCGATGTCGGTTTTTTTACATTGACAACGATTCCATTTAGTGCTGGATTTAGTGGGGGCGCAACTCGCCGGGACCTCTAAAACAAAAATCTAAAATTGAAGATTGTCGGTTGTTTTTTTCGCTCTTTTTTTTAATTTAACTTTTAATTAAGGTACTTGAATTTATTATTATTTTTATTTTTTTTTTTTTTCTATAGTTATTTGATAGGTCACGTGTATTAAATAAATATCCAAGTGTTATGTTGAGCAAATGTATTGTTACTCCAAACGGTGTTAGCCTCCCTAAACTTAGACCGAACACTGATTCCATTACAAGCCAATAATAATAATAATATAACTGTTTCAGGTGAGTCCCCGCCGTCCGGCTCCAACCCGACGATGGCCACATCGAACGTCAACAACATGGGAAGCATCCAATCGGTCAACATCGACGCTATGTTGCGTTACACGTTCGTGCCCGACTACACGGTGCGCGCGGTTACGGAAGTGATGTACTTGCGCGTGAAACGTTCGTTCTACATGGCGGCAAAACGCGCCACGCTTATGGAACGTTCCAAGAAGATGTCCAACGCCGGAGAGTTCGACGAAGAAGTAGACAAGGTGATGATGACAACGTCCCGCTGACGTGTTACGGATCCGCGTGCGGCGGTAGACAAGGATCGCCGGTGCCTCACTAGTGATGGGCATAACCGAATAATTCGGACTACCGACTATTAGTTATACTTATAAAAATATTACCGACTAATTGGTCGAATAAAAATACTACCGACTAATAATAAGCACGACCGAATAATTCGGACTATCGAATATTAGTTACAGTTTTAGAAATACTACCGACTAATTTTACTATTCGTTAGTCGACTAAATTATTTGTCAATTAATATTTTTGTCATAAACCGACTAATAAACTTATTCAGTACAACCGATTTAGTCGGTAGTTATTAGTTACTCATGTCCATCACTATGCCTTACCTACCGTCCGTGGCGAATTCTATTTTTGCGCTTGTTTTATACGAGGTGGGGGTGTGGGGAAACCGGCTAATTTTAATTCAAACGGGTCCCCTTACTTTGCTGCGCATTTCACCAACCTCTAGTTACGGCGCTGAAACTCGCGTTTCGAATAAAATGTCGTCGGTTGCGAATATATAATATAATAATATAATATAACGCGCACGACAATAAGACACGTATATGTTATTGTTTCTCCGTTTACTAGTTTCACGCGAACAACTACCAATGAAGCCGAAGTCCATCGTCATACGTATACAATTTTGTTTTGGTAATGGTCACCCCATGGCCGGGACACTAAAATTAAGTTGAATCCTATGAAAGAATATTCCTTGTGAAAATATTGAATATTAAGTTAAGAAAACCAGTTATAATTGGTACCCAACCTTTTCAATGTTTGATAAGTACACTGTATACCTAGCGAATAAATCATTTACATTTAGTAGAATATTTACTATGACTCGTCATGCATATAAATATAGGTTTCCTCGCCATTGCCCGACACTATCGTGAGTGTATATATAGTTGCACATTTTCAAAAGGAATCCTTTATAACGTACATTATATCATTAACGTGCTCTTAAAAGCATGATTTCCAGTCTTATAAAGTACTCGAGTAAAAATATTCAAATACTTTTCACGTACTCAAATAAAAAATTTAAATATTAATAATATAATTTAAATAGAAAAATATACTTGGACGTATTTTAAATACTTCAGAGTATCTGTATTCAAACTCAAGTACCATTTTCAATTACTTCTTTTACAAATTTTATTTCAACAGTACTACATTAAAATAATAAATTAAGTAACCTACACATTTATTTTATATTAATAAGATTTATCAACCATCCGTGTTGTATAAATAAAATCAATATTTATATATGTGTGTATATATGGCATGTAATAAGAAATTTTCTGTGCAGATCCAATTTCAGACAATTCCATTTCAAATACCAGAATCTAACAACTCTATTTATAATCCACAAAATTATACACTGTTATGAATAAATTATACAGATACTGTATTACTACCCACATTAATTATCAACTTCATACCAAAATTGAAATTCGTTGTATTTCCATTTTCTAATTACATTTTAATTCCGATTTATGTCCTGAGAAACTCTGAACTATTTTATTTGTTGCAACCATGGAAAACATAAATATATTTTTAAAATTCTTTTATGTTTTTTATAATTATAAGGTAAAAAACGTTACAACATTTTTTTAAATATTTAAAAGTATCTATGAATACTTTTTTAAAGTATCTGCATTCTTACTTGAATAATTTCTTTTATCAAGTATTCATATACGTATTTTAAATACTTTTGAAAACAGATATCTGTATTTGAATACAGTAATCCCTTATCCACGGATTTTTTATCGGCTATTTCGATTATCCGCGGTTGAGTCCACGATAAAATGTTATTAATACGATAATGTTTTATCGTTATTATTCGGACACCGTAGATAATTTTTATTTTAAATAACTGTAGATAATACAACTACGTAGGTACTTTTTATTTATTATAGATAAATACCACAGATAAGGTACTTACAGACTACACATGTACAATAAATAATCGTCAATTATTGTTTACACTTGATATTTTTGCGTGACACGTGTACGGTACAATTACTTCTAATAAATTTAGTGTGATTTAATTTAAATTTTCCATTCTTCCTAATACATATGTATGTACAGTATGTGTATAAATAATTAATAAATTAGATAAATTGAAAATAATCAATTAAAAAATGGTAAAAATATGTATGTGATTTTTAAGATTAAGAAAATAAAACCTAATCTCCTTTTTTACATTGATTTATGGTTTTTTTATCCGCGGTTTCGTTATCCGCGCAACTTTTCTGGAACGCAACCTCCACGGATAATGAGAGATAACTGTACTTTTAAAATGTATTTTTTACATGACTATTAATTTCATCCGATCGCACGAGCGATGTAGAAATCTTACCAAATCCGTATGGATATATTTGTGTATTTATTTGACTATGCCGATTGTATTTTTAATTGTTTGTCGTGAAATTCGATTTAAGATCTTGCTTGCTACTGGAACTTGTACTAAAGTTTTTATTTGTTAACAAGGAATTATTTTGTTTCTCATTTTTATCAAATAATCAAAGAATATAACCCATATTAATGAATTTTGTTAATTTTTTGTAACACATGTTTAGATGACATAGTAAATATTAAAAAAAAAAGGTAATAATTTGAAATATTCTTATCTGTACCAGCGTACAATAAGTAATTTTTACTGTCAACATAAAAAAATAATACGTAAGATAGAAATCACACATTTGTGATACCTCTTAAATTATACGAAGTTCTGAAATAAAAAATATTATAACTTTTTAAAAGTATTATGAACTTATTTAAATTATTCATTTTAACTATCTAATTTTACATGATATTTATGTGTCTTTTGAATTTGTACAACTAGTATTAAGTTTGATTATTTTTTATTATTTTTGTTAAAGCTATTCCATTCATACGGAGATGAAGATCGAAAAAGCATTCAAGGATCTCCTGACGTTACTAGAAATGCATCCCAGGTAATATGCAACGCGCCGTTTGAAACTTCATACGAAAAGAGTGCTCAATAATATGTCACACAGAAAAAACTTAATTGCAGTTTCTGTGATTTTAATATTTTTGGTATAAACGCGTTTTCAGCCCAACATCTCAGATTTCGCACTTCGTATTTAGGTGGATTTGTTCGCTGCTTCCAGTCCGCGAACACTTGTACTGCTAGAAACTAGTCTGTAAACAAAAAAAAAAAAACATAAAAATATTTACCTTGTATAACTCTTCAATGGTGAGTAGGGAAACTGAAATGAAAAAGAAACGTAAAGTTAAAAACTCTTATGGTACATCATGATTTTACCGACACGGTTATGAAAAGCACGCTTTAAACTTTATTAAATTGTTCCACGTTGATACATATATTTATATTTTTCAAGTAAACTTTTAAACTGCTACCATTAAAATCATTCTGATAAATTAATGCGAATGAATAAACAATATATAATACTATAGTCATTGCTATTTAATTTTTTTTAATTACATTGGACTGTTACATTTACACATACATAATGACGAGGAACTAACCATTTACCTACATACTGTTATGTACAATGATATGTTTCATTCGCAGATCAATCACCGTAAAAGTTCGTTTGTCCCCCTCAAGTCTGAAGGACGCTCGAGTAATACGAAAAGAAACAGCAACGAGCTGTTTATATGAGGTAGTAGGAACGAGAGAGTGTGTGGTTCGAATAATGCTCAACGTTTTCATATTAACCAATTTTGCGCTTGATTGGTTAGAGTTTTGATTGATATTGATTTGACGATCTTAATTTCAACTATAGTTTATGATAACATCCCATTTATTTTACCAAAATTACTGAATACGGTTTTAATTTGGTTTTTTCTACATTAATAATATGCTTTTTAACATTTATTTGAAAATAGTTCTCCAATGCTTTGTTTGTACTTTAAAGTATTTAAATCAGTCATGTGTTTTCTGCATATATAGTTTGAACTGACTAGCTAGACTAACTTAAATTAACGTCTAACTATTTTCCGTCCATTTTTTGATTCGAGTAAAGCAATTTTAATTTCTAATGTTATTTGTTAAATGTATTATTTTTTTGGTTTTATTTTTTTTTTTTTTTTTTTGTAAGCTATTTATAATAGCTTTCATAATGTAAATCAGATGCAACCTTAGCTCAAAGTTTTTTTTTTCAATGTAACGGTTTATCTCTACTTTTAAGTGAATTAAAAAAAAAACACTTAATACAACAAAAATCCTATATTTCAAAACGATATTTTACCGACTTTTTTAAATCCATCTACTATATGGTGTCAAAAATCGAAAATATCACTGTATCAAAATTCTATAAGCTTCGCTAAAAAATATTGTCTGAACATGCCAATAATTTAAATACAAAGGTGTATTATCTTAATTGGACCATTCGACTTGAAACTTTTACGTATACTACTAGATCAGTATACTGTATCGACGTATACTAAATACAATGCATTTCTCATTCTATATTTAAGCTTTTTAAACATATTTTCTGTACACATTCATTAACAAGGAAAACCGAGAGAGAGAAAAAAATTCAGTATATCAGAACAACGAATTGAAAAACGAAAAAAAATAATATTAAGTTAGTCTTCATTAAAATTTCTCTCCGAATGCAATACAATAGAACAACAATCGAAAATTTAATCTTAAGGTAACTCATTGAATTGAGCTAAGAAAAACGTATTAGTTGAACAGTACAATTTTCTAATAATTTCAATAACTATTTTGCTTCTGTATACCTAGTACAGCACTCGAGTGCGCACATTCGCTATTTGTTATTAATACGTGTAATCACTGTATTATTTGTTTACAATCAAAATAATTAACGATTATATAGTTTTCGCAGTTTTACAGTACAAAGTTACAATCTACTGGCGATAAGTTGTTACCATTCACAACAAAGATTCTCATTCCATACACACGCATCACACAATATTATTAATTATGTATTGTATGATACACGCATAATTCATTGTTGTACTTCGAGCTTATAAAACTTGTTTTACATAACATTAAATGTTTTATTTTTATACCACTGTTATAGAAATAACGTATATCTAATCAAATGCGTACCATTTCCAGACAATATTACCGCCATCGACAACTTCGAACAATGCTGCAGCATCTCTCAATAACGGAGAACTTAATCCATCAATAGCCGTATCATACTCACGAACACCTCAAGGTACATCCGATGCGTCGGCTGAAGAGAAAATCACACTTTTAGGCACAAACGCGTCGTCGGCTGCCGCTAAACCGGACGCCACTAATCCATCATCTTAGGATTATTTATTATGATGATATTCGTTAGTTGATTCTTTTATAACATTTTTTTTTTTTTATTATTATTTATTTATTATTGTAATATTTTTTTTTTGCTCCACATTAGATAGAAGACGTTTGAACGTTAAAGTAGACATTACGTACGTTACGCATAAGCACGTTAAGTTTGTTTCTAGTATTACATGTGTTATAGTTATAATTCAAAAGTAGTTCTAGTCCAACATGATTGTGTTCAATAAGTGTGAAAAAAAATCCATCGAGAGGCTCTTTGAACAATCGTTAAACGCGTGTGGGTTAATCAATTTGTTTGTATATTAACTTGCGCTCTCTACATGTCCGTTAAGGACAAAAATAATTTTTAGCAATTGTAACGGCTATACTCACAGAAAATTCTACTCCCATTTTATCATTCTAATGACTAATTACTTCAAATGGCTTTTATTATATTGTATTTCTATTTTTTTTTAATTTTTTTTTTTACTATTTATCATATTGCTTAATATATTTATAATTATTATTTATAAATATGTGTGTATATGTGTGTGTGTGATATATATATATACAAACATACATACACACACACACATATATATATATATATATATATATATATATTCGATTAATTAAGCTTTGTGTCCCGGTGACACGGAAATCTGTTTTGTACATATACAAAAACGAATCTCTTAGGCTTTTCGTGTCCCTAACATTTTTGATCGATTGATAAACCCTCGGAGTGATCTCAGAGGTATACGAGTCCTCGTATTTTTTTTTTCATTTAGTTGGGTTAAATAAATAAATGAATATATGGATTATCAATGTTATTCTTTTCTTTTCAAGTTAATATAATATTTAAAAATAATTCAATCACTTCATTAAATTAAATCTCAATATTAAATACATTAAAAAACATCACTGTTAAATCCTATAAAATATGTTCTTCGACTTCTTAATTAACTTTTCTTATGTAATACTATTAACACTATATTATATAAATATTTTACAATTTATTTAATTGACATATATAAACTTTGAATCGTGGCATTTTATAATTATTAGGAATGCGCTCAAATTATAGTATAAGTGATATTACATAGATAATTATAATGGAAATTACATTTTGGAGACTTATATTTAGCTTCAAAATCAACAAATTAATTTTCGAAACTTATGTTTCATAAAATATATTACAATATTATAGTTATACCTTTAAAGTGAAGTTGGTTAAAAACAAAAAAATACAAAAAAATTAAGTAAAATCTGAACAAAAAATTTGTCAAAATAGATAGATATGTTTAATGTTGAAAGTTTATATAAATATATGTATTATGATTATTAATATTTGTATACTAAATTTTGAATAATAGTTATCTGATGCATGTAAGTAATCTTAGACACGATATGCATAATGTTAAATAGGTGTATAATAATCTATTAAAACCATTCAATAATAATTTACTGGTTGCCATCAAAATACAATCCTAAATACTGCTCCCCTAAGTCGGATCGTAATGTAAAATGTCCTACACTCGCAAACACACCTTGTAAATATATATTATACAACTCGGTGCTCAGCCATGTCGTAATCATTTATTCGATTCGAATCGTTTTTACTTTAATTACTTTTTTCATCTTCTGACTTATACGACAAATGTCGAACAAATCGAAATATTCCAAACACGCCTGCTAAGTTGTTTTTTGCTACAGAACTATGTGAATATAGTCTACCAAAGCCGATTGAAGTCAATATAATTGGTTTTTTTTTTATTTCTTTCAAAGATTTCCATAAATCACAATTGTCATTCTACCCTTGAAAATAACGCAATCCACGTACAACGTGTTCGTCGCAGTAATTTTTTATGTTACGTATTCTAGTACCAATTCAACCGTAACTTACCAACCCTGTTTAGCCCGTTCTCTCATTGTAAACATTTTTTTTTTTTTTTATTTAACTCGCTGCAATGCCAACTTCAGATCTTGTTTACGCTATCGTCTTACCTATGACTCGTTCCATATTATTACAAAATGTGTATTACTTACAGTCAGCAAACGATGGTAAATCGGATCATTTCGTGTGATAAAATACATATATATTATTGATTGTTTTATTGTTTATTTCACGATACGTATTCATATTGAACGGGAAAATTGTTGTTAAGGTTGGTTAGTTGTTGATGGACAAGGATGCATCATGTCTATAATTATTATTGTTTTTTTTTCTTCATTAACTTAGAGTCAAAAATGTTATTGTTGAGACATTGAGTGTAGTTTTTGGTGATTTTGAATTATTGCAATGAACATTAAAAGTTAATATTGTTTTTACTTGTATCATTATTGTTATTATTATCACATGTAATTTTTTTTTAGACTTACTTTATTTTATTTTATTTTTTATCTACTAATAACGTATACAATGTTTGTGCTATAAAATGATGAGGGAAAAGTATTATTAAAAAAATATTACTCCGATTATCGCGTTCAGTCTGTTTATATTATATATGTTGCTGATGGGTTATTAAGTTTAATGGTAATATAGTTTAGGTATTATTAAAATAAATATAAATATATATAAATTTTAAGATATAAAAAAATATGTTAATTAAATAATTATAACGTTAATCATTTCTTTTTTTTTTTTTTTTTGGCCAAGTTATAGTTGTACAATTATTATTGATGGTCGAGTTTGAAAATGTTTAGTTAATATCACCTGATCACAGTAGCTGTATAGAATAATTTCGAACTAATTTTAATATTAAACACTTAAAGCTTTTATTTTGTGTAGAATCATTATGAAATATTATATACTCATTGACTGGTCACAAATGTATGTCCCCATCATAAAATATATTATTTATTTTTAACTGATGTTAGTTTTAAAATTGTATTATTGAATAATACATAATTATAATGCTAAATGAATACTGCCTGTGCTGCTATATCGATTATATGCTAAGTATTATCAGATTTTAAATGATTTGTATAAATAATTGTTTAATTAAATCAAATTTTTGTAATAATTTGTTAGTTGCACAGTCAGTACCGATACAAGCGTTAATAAAAATAGTTTTTAATGTACCTACCAATCGACATTTATAGTCTACTATAGAGTTATATCAAAATAGAGCAATCTTTCTAGTACTTAAAAATATATTATAATAGCCATAAAATGATTTATTATTTGTAATGTATTAAAGATGAATCAAATATCTTTTCTTTTTTTTTTTAAAAAAAAGTTATTATTATTAAAAACCTACTCTGTTGTCCAGTATATATGTAATATGTTAAACTATTATTATTATAATTATAGATAAATAGAAAATTGACTTTAATGTATAATATTTATGGCATTCGTTTTTCTTGTTCAATCATTGTTAACCTAACCTAAACTAACTTATGCATACATTTATTTTTAGTTCTTAATTATAAAATATATAATCAAAAGTCAAATATAGTACAATAGCACCAATTTGTATAACTAAATCAATAATATTGTTCCAAGTAGGCATCATATTATATTGTATTGGCACTTGACAACAAATAATTATAACGAAAGAAATATTATTAAAGTATATTTCATAGAATGCATTTACTGGCCACAATATATATATATATATATATATATGTATAAACTATTTAAAAATATTGGTCTGATTACCTAGTGAATACAATACAGTAGGCATTTATAAGTACTAAATATCATATATTATATTTTTAATGTGATTAAATTAATTTTATTCTTCAGTAACAAGGTTGGGTTACCTATATTTGTTTATTGTATTTAGAAAAACGTTTAGGCTTTATGATTTATGTGTATGTTATAATATAATAAATTATATAGGTAATATTAATTTTATAATGTACAAACATTACAAAACTGTTGTTTCTATTGTTTAAAACCTGTTTTTATCGAGTTGAATGAATGAAAATGATTACAGTGATATCCAGTGACACTGCGTCCACATTTGCTCAACCAAATTTAACAATCTGTGTATTTTAAAATCAACTGTCATACCCAAATAAAATTGACAAAGTAAAGAAGAGAGTAGATAAGATATAATTATATTGGGTTTTATTTATAATATTATTTTTATTAAGGTTTCAATAACAAGTTTTTAGCCTACGTTTTGTCAAAAGTTAGACAAGAAAAAACAATATATGTATACTATACATGTTGATACAAATTTTACTACATTATTTACAATAGGTTACTTAAATTTATACTAAAGAAAAATATACTGATGGCAGATGTGTTCTCATCTTTGAATGCTTGATGGAGTGAAACAAGAGTTTTGAGTATCTTGCATGCTTCGATGTATTTGGGGCAGATGATGGTAATGTGTTCAATTATTACATTAAACAAGAATTATATTGCAAGTACCACGTATTGTTGTAGGTTCTTTTTTAATTAGACAAACATGAGTTAGATGAGAGTGGCTTATTTTAGCTCGAGTAGGTACCTAAATGTATGAAGGAACCCACATGAAACTTGTAAAGTTATTTATTTCAGATATCAATTTCTGAATGTGTTGGATAAGTTAATTTTTTGGATAGGTATTAGAGATTGCCATGTGGGGGCTCTCAAAGAGTCGTATTTCATCATATTTTTTTATATGCATCCGAGGTATTTTTCGTTTACCTACACGTTTTCTGTTATATAGGTATTTTTAAACTAAGGTATCGATATTTATATAAAGCATGAAAATCATATAATATACAATATGTACCTATCTGGTTGAAATTTAACTTTTTTTTTTGTACTGCGATTTATGTACTCGTAGATAACAAACCATAGCTGCAATAATATCTTATTTGTGCATGATTATTATTGTACTTTGTATGACTTTGGTTGGTTTGAAGTTATGACTTGATTGTCGAAAGAGTGTTATTCGATGTTTGAATTGTCTAAAATATGATAACATAAAAACAACTTACCCGGTTAACGTTACTCGTATTTAAAAACGAAACTTTACTATAAGATTTTAAGCAAACTTAATTCAAAAAAATTGCACTTAACGCATAAGTCTTAGAATTTTTTTTATAAAAGTATATTGAACTCGATTGTTTTTTCATTGACTTGCTTTGATACAGTTGGACTAAGAACTATTCTTAACAATTATTGTTAACTCCATAAATATGGTGTGTATATCGCTGACTAGGATTAAAGCATTTGGAGGTAGATTTAATTATTTAGAAATGAAGACATTTTCTAAAATTCTGGAAAATATGTTCTAAATTAACAAATAACAACATAAATTATTCTAACTAATATAATTTAGAACGGTTAAAATACTTATCTGATTGTCGAATGATTTTACATGATACCCATAATAACACTTCACTGATCTTATACGGCAGTTTTTAACTGAATTAGATTTTCGATCTATTAGCTAAAGATTGCGTGAAAAAATTTATTTTTCATGTGTTAATCATTTATTTTAAATTATAATTATATTTATTATAATCTTATAGTGTTTATATAGTAATCACATTAATTTTTTAAGA